AATAGCTGGTCATTGTTTTTTATCCAATCGTTATTTGATGGTGACGAGAATAGAAGATAGAATCAATATATGCAGTAGTTGCTCTGTCTCATCAACCATGGATAGACGAGCAATATCTTTCACCAACCATGAACGCCGCGTATAACAAGTACCCCTTCATTTGCGAACGAGGAATGCCCATTTCCTCCCACAATCTAAATGATTGGGGGTAGGTTCAAACAAATCGCTTTTCTTCTTCAGAGTTCCCGTTTACTGTGCCGCCTCCTTACCTGTCTCTAATCAACTGCGAAATTTCGTGCATGCATAGCCGCCACGAATGTAGATTTTGCCGACTTTGAATGGGTGGCAGCAACATAATGGTAGATGCGTGTTGACAAACGGAAAATCTACAAACGAAACAAAAATTTAGATGAACATGTGGTTAGGAAACCTTGAAGATGCGAAACAATGGGGTACTAAAAGACACTGCTAGTCTCTTTACCGAGGCCCATTTGAATCATTTTGTCAATACCTGAAAAGTTAGGTTTTGCATAGGCTGAAAGCGTATTTAGAATTTAATAGTGTGTTTATAATAATAAGAATATTCAATTCAAAATACAGCCTTAAAAAAATATATGAAAAAAAAGAGATATTAGTATGAATTAGAATTCAAGGAATCGATTGATATAAAAAAAATTCAAATTATCTCAAAAATTGAAATTTATATTCAATATAAAAGTATTTGAATAAGAAAGATTAAATATTAAAACTATATTATTATTTAAGTTTATTCAAATAATTTTATATTGAATATAAATTTCAATTTTTGAGATAATTTGAAAAAATTTATATCAATCAATTCCTTAAATTATAATTCATATTAATATTTCTTTTCTTTTCTTTTTATTAATCTTTTCAAGGTTTTGTATTGAATAAAAGAATTCTATAATTTTTATATACTAATTAAGGAAAACTTGATTAATCATATATCCTAATATTTAAAGTATAAATAAAAATAGCTTAATTATTATAATTAAATTAATTATAATTTTATTAAATTGAATTAGAATTTCAGTTTTTGATATAATTTAAATATAATTATATTAATCGATTTGTTAAATTTGAATTAATAATTTTCTTCTTTTCTTTTTTATTTCATTTATTCTTTTAAAGTTATATACTAAATTGAATTTTTTTTTTTAATATTATAAAAACTAATTCTTAATTCGAAATAAATAAGATAAGAAATTCTTATCGAAATTCTCTCACTTATTAGTAATTGATTTATATATAAAAAGAAAACTATTTAAAAAAGATTATATATTAGAATTTAAATATTAATACATTTCTTATAGAAAATTCTAAAATAAATTCTAAAATCATATTAATAATATTAACAATAAAAGCTTTCTAATAATATAATTTTTCTTATAAAATTATTATCAATTATATAATTCTATATAATACAATTTTTCTTTTTAAGATTTCTATATATATATTATAAGTTATAAATTTTAGAAATTCTTTTTGAACTATATAAAACCTAACTTTTCAGGTATTAGCAAAATGATTCAAATAGGCCTCGGTACTCTTGAGAGTAGTAAATATCCACTTATAGGGCTTGGCCTTCACTATTATATGGATTTGGTTTAGACGGAACTCACGGGAGGGAATCCCAGTGACTTTAGAGTAGTCTGAACGCTGAACGGACGCTAAAAGCTAGGACATCATCGCTAAATTCCCATGACAACTTCAGAATTAACAGGAAATTTAAACTTTAGAGAGTTTTGAGAATATACAAAGGATTCGAATTATCTAATCATATGATAAGACTCTTTTCAGTAGCCAAGAAGGGACATCTAAAGTATATCTTATACCAGCGCCCACGAGTCCCAAATTCATGGCACCGCAAACAGACCTTCATCATATAAGAGAAATGTGCGATGTAGGCTGACTAGGTGGGTGTGTAAATATAGGCACAGCCCTCTGACACATCCCCTGTAATGGTCTCCTCAACCCACGCGCGACTGGCTCCGCATTTTTCAGCTCCCAGGGCTTGTGAGACGCGATTGCTCTTTTGGGCCCCTTGTTGAAGATGGAGGGGGTATGGAATCGGATGATATATACTAGGTAGGCAAGCTTGCATGAGGCTCTGTGTATGATAAATACCACTTATTTTTGATCTTCTCCTATGAACAATAAATATACGAGGATTTCTTTTCTTGGGAGAGTAAAGAGTCGAACGAATATAAGAAGGATAAGATATTGAAAGAGTGGTCTTAGGGAAGGGGAAAACTGAAATTTGCGACTTTGAGACGTGTGTGAGAAAGGAGGAAAGAGAAAGCAAAACGGCAGGCACAGTCCTTACATTTGACTCGAAGTCGAACCTCGAAGGTTTGAGACGACAGCCATCAGGCGTTGGAATTTCGGCACAGTAAGGTTATTCGAGATGACGAATTCATGGTTTCCCTCAGGGAAAGAGGTTCGGTATGTTAAATGTCATATCATTATTCGCGCGAACTTCTCATATCCTGTCCATAAACTAATAACTACCACAGCGATGGATGGCGATTAGATATTGTGTCGCTATTGGCAGTCATAGGAGAATCTGCTATGGCTGACCACTCTCAAACTATGACCTCATCTTGGATGTGCATGCTCCCTCGAATCATTCCTGCCCCACAAGTCCTCCTCAAATCTTCGCGTCCCTCTCGAATGCCACAAGTGAACGCTGCTGTGGTCGGTGTACACAATGGGGTATATGTGCAATCACTCAACTTCTTCCCAAACATCATACATCCAATAGAAAACCTCAAGCCTTTTGAGTTCAAGGTCTTCGTAATCAAGCATAGGAATGCCTCTCCTCCGGTGGTGACTCCACCCACACCCGCGAACAAGCAGAGACAGGTTTCGGCTTCTAGCAGTATCGAAACTTCACATTTAGAGAGCGGCACAACGCTTCAGCCTCGACGTCGGGATACGCTCAGAGCCAGAATCACCCATCGTGGAACCAATGTCGATGACAAGAAACCCCACGTACCAGCTAGATTCTGGTCACCTCTCAACTGTCTTTCTCTGATATCATTCTTCTTGACCATTGGACTTTTTATATGGGCGATATTGACCCACGACGGAACAGCATGTGTTGCACTCTTTACCATCTCCCTTGCCTCATCAATTGTCGGTTACGCATCTTATTGGTCACCTGCTCTCATGAATCGCAACAACAATAGTAAAGTTCCGTTGGGCGATGTCGTAATCCGCACCAGGGAAGGAGCATTCATCGTAGTTAGATGCGATGAAGAAGTTGCCCGAGAACTATACAACGGAACTGAGGAATGCCAATACTATGTTGACACAGATCCCTACCGAGTACTTGTCGGCATCGGTACTTGCCTCCTCATGATTTCGGTCGTACTTCTTGGAAATTGTGATTTCCAAATGCAAATTTCTATCGGCGCGTCCTATATTGTCCTCAACGGTGCATACTGGGGGGTAGCTTTGATGAACAAGAGGAGATTCTGGGATCTGTCGAGCTATGAATGGACGGATGTTACGCCTGAGTCTGCACAAGGAGCATATCTGGAACAGGACGCGAACGATGTTGAAGGAAGGCCTTCTTTCACTAGAACATTATGGTACGCGATCCGAGAGACAAAGAAAATCGGATGGGTGAAGACAAGTGGGGCTGCACCAACGACAGCGAAGTGGGCGAAATGGTTAGAAAAAGCAGAAGACGCGGCTATCAGAGGGGATTGGAGATGGGATGCTGTCCGTCAGAAAGATGCAACAGTTGGCGAATCAGATTCAGTGCCGCAAGCTGAAGCGGCATTCAAAGACACGGCTACCGAACATGCGCCTGCAGTCCAAGTTCCGATGCAAGATCGGATCGATACTGAGTGAATTTACGACCTACGCTTATTACCTATATATATACAAAATCGCCCACTTCCAGCACCAACTCACGGGCTTGATAGCGCAGTAGGCAAGTCCGTGTTCCCAATGAACGCCTGTTGAGTTGGTGTGTAACAGAAAAAACGTACGGAAAGCCGATGTTTCTGGGAGCGACCCCAGTTTTGCTATTTTGATGGTCTATATATATTTTTTTATTTTGGGTCTGAAGGACATCAGATAATAAATATATGGCTTGCTTCAGATGGGGGATAATAATTTGATAAATGTGTTCGAGATACCCTGATATTGAAGAGATGACTATATGGTCACTTTGAAGATTGATTAATAATTGGATGATTTATGTTGGTAGATTTAGCGTTAGCGTTGCATCTTTGGCTATGTTACATGAGGGAAGAGATCTCGGTGCGTTCTCAGGGTTGCTTAGATATCTCACCTCTGCTTTTGCTTCTATCTAGTGGTACGTTGGTTCTCATCATTGCTAGGTCAGATTAGAGGCTAGAATAGATGGATCAATAAAACTTCATGTATATTTTCAGATGATAATGGGTGTTGGTTCGAAGGAATCTCTCGTGTTTGTGCGCTGGTCTAGACTATCTATCATCTTTCCTGGTATTTGAGTTTTCGCGTTCTGGATTGTCTTGTCTGTTCACTTTCAGTATGGTTATGTTTCCTATCTGAGTTTCAACCTTTCAGGTTTATCCCGTCTTGATCTCAACTTCAGATATTCAATCGAGGGCTTCCGATTTCGCTTCTTTCCACGCTAGTGCCCTCAACTTAGTCTCCCTCAAACTCACTACCTATCTAATTCTCTAAATTTTTCTATTCCTAAACCTTCAACTTCCTCAGCCCAGCGGCGAGTTCTATCGAGCTTCACCCTAGTCCAAGAAGACCTGAGCAACAATCATGAGTCTAATCACCTCAAGGGCAAGTTTCACATGCAGGCCATCAAGAACGTATTACTGACCGAGAGATAGTCCCCCGTTCATCTGGTCATCGATCCCGAAGGTGACCTGACGATCAAACTTGCAGAAAAGCATTACTCCTATTCCATTCGTGGAGAAAGATCAACAACAATGACAGTTCTCGCCACATAGCTTGTGTCTAGGATGGTTCTTAGCACAAGCTCGGATGTCTATGGAACCTCGATTAAACGGAACCCCGAAAGAGTTCTCGTAGTCGAGGATGGGTGTATTAGAAATTTAGAACTTTGGTTCCGAATCTTGCACGGTGCCACGAGTGAAGAGATCGAACACCTGCAGGATCTTTCCATTCGAGACATTTGGGAAGCTCTTCACGTATGCGAATACCGCGATCTTGATATCGATAAGTTGAAACATTGGTTCCACGAATGGATGAAGAAGAAAGACTATAAGACTTTGACGGGTGATGGAATGAATGAGTTGATGACTCCGTGGTTTATGCTGGATCATTCACCTGCTTTTGCGTGGATAACTTACCATTTTCAAAACCATTCCCTCATTGATTGAAGTCTAGATTCATATTTTACCACTTGCACAGAATCCCATCAATGTATATGATACCATTCGCATCCAAACACAACACCAAGTAAATACACAGATTGTATCCAGCATTTCGTTGCATCATTGCGGATACTCGTATCAAAAGTTTCCCAATAAACTTATCAGGATAACAGGAACGAAGCTCGCTGATCTAATGAAATACATGCATATTTCAGTTCCATCCAAATACTATAGGAACAACTATGCCGTCTTTTACTGAAGCCTGTAGTATAAGATTTGAGTCGAGTTTTGTATATGCTTTCTTATACATCACTTTCTATAAAGACGCTAAAGTATAGCGATTATCTATCTCATCGCAATATCGTAGGTGAAATGGTCGATGGATATACACATATTGATTTAAACGACATGAGCTAGATACAATGCCTATAAAGATACTCTGCGCATTCGCAAAAGATGATTGATTCAAAGACATTGCAATATCCCATGATTTGAGATACGCTCTCTCGATTTCGCATTGCGTTAGTAACATTATTGAACTTTTGAGCCTACAGTAAAACTACTCATTATCCATGTCCCAGGTCAAGTTGCCAATGAACAAGTTTTCGGAGCCACATGCTCTTCATAGTCAGTCTCCTCGGTGTTTATCTTCTCAGCGGATGCCTCAGGGTGGAGGTTCCTTTGAGCCTTGCTGGTTTTGATTGTGGTACTCTTTTGACTGACAGAGAGAACAAATTGAAATGTTTTATGTATGATGATAAAGAGAAAAAATCTAGTAACGCAGACTAATGCTTCATGCGATGTTGGTGTTGTGGTACGTGGATCGATTTCACACAAGTCAAAGTTTCAGGGGCTTGAAGGAAATGAAATTAAAAAAAACTTCAAAGGAAAAATGTTATCTTTAATTACCTACTTTGTGAGTTGCTCAGTCGGGTTATGCCAATCAGACTTTGAGGACATATGTCGGTCGACTAAGCGGGTATCACAGCCCAAGCACCTCTCCATAAGTAGCATAAGTAATTTGCCTGTCACATAATGTAGGGAAACCAGATGTAAAGGGTATCGGAACCGTCATTATGGCAATGTTAAAATACATATATGGAATACTATACAATCAGAGCTTGCTTGTTGGTTGAAAGAGAGATGAAGCTTTGTTTAATGTCTCTACGGCCTCCTTTTCGATTCTCTTACAAAGTACCTCACACGTTGGGATGTCGTGAATGAGACCAATTACTTGACCAGCGGTCCAAACCTAAAAGATAATTAGCTTGTGAGTTATGAGTGTTTAGATATTGATACGTACTCCGTAGTCGGGATCTCCAGTGGTAAAGACTTCTCTACCTCTCTTGCCGCTCACATAAGGAGCAACCTCCGCAAACTCTCCAGTCTTACTCTCTTGTTCAATCTTTACTGCCTGTGCAGTAACCTTGTTCTTATACAAGCGTGAGGTGTTCTTCCATCTTCGAAGAACGAGCTGGGTATCAACTTCAGAAGCCTTGACAATCTCTTTCTTGATATTCTCGTGTATTGGTGCTTCTACGGTACACATGAATCGTGTTCCCATGTTGATTCCTTCAGCGCCTAGGGAAAGTGCAGCCGCAAGACCTTGGCCATCAGCAAATCCACCAGACGCGATAAAAGGAACATTCAGCGATTGTCTAGCTCTGCTAAGGAGGATGAAGTTCGTGATATCAGTTTCACCAACATGCCCAGCACATTCGAAACCATCGATACTCAGGAAATCAACTCCAAGCTTAGCTGCACTCTCGGCATGTCTGATGGTTGTACATTTATGTAGAACGATTATCCCAGCGGCCTTCAACATCTTTATGACAGGACCAGGACTGTTTCCTGCTGTCTCGACAACTTTAATTCCCTCATCAATAGTGACTTGTGCGTATGCACCGTAACTAGAAGAAATCACGGGTCAGCTTGGTTTTGCAAGTTTTGCGGTTTGAGGGGCATGTTGTACTCGCAATACACAAGCACGGAGCAAATGGCGAATCAACTTGAGATGAGATTGAGATCTGCGGAAACTTACTCCGGGGGATTAATCGAAGGTAACAGCGTGATGTTTACACCAAATGGCTTCTTCGTCATTTCCCTACATCTTCGGATCTCCTTGCGGAGATCTTCTGGAGTGGGTTGCGTTAAAGCTGTGAGGATACCCAACCCTCCGGCATTGCTCACGGCGCTTGCTAACTCCGCATATCCCACCCATTGCATACCACCTTGGACAATAGGTACTACATAGCCCCCGAATCAGTGATATGTCGGTCGGAAGAGAACATGAGGGTGTAACTTACATTCGATACCCAAGGCCTGGGTGAGTTTCGTGTTGAAAGGCATGATGTCGAGGAGTGCTAACGAATGATGAGATGAGATGTAGGTTTGTCTGATCCCACAGGGGTACCGTGGAAGTGAATGTATGGTCTATTCTAACGTCTTTCTTTAGGTATTTCTAATAATATGATTCAAAAGAATGATTATGATTCGAAGTCTAAGAACAAAGTATGTATGGAAGATATAAAAATAATAAAAACCGGTTGGTATTATTGTAGGTAACAAGCTCCTTTCCCCACATTCTTTGGACCGAGGCACGGCAACTAGGTCTAGGCAATACCGGTTCGCACCTGCTAGTTTTGTCTTCTTGAAGTTCTTCAGGTTACGGTAATCAGCTGGATCTCATCTCATGAGATTATTGCTCCGGTGTGTACTTGCTTTGTAAGGTCCAGAGTAGGTTGTTGCTTTTGCTGTTTTTGAGTCTTCCTCATAAAATTTCCCTGTCTCATCATTGTCCCTACGTGCCTACCTAGGTACAACATTCTCAACACTGTGAGCATATGATTGGGTGGTGTATCACACTGTCACGTGTCGTGGTTCTAGACATCGAACAGGTTGCACCGCCAGTTCCACATATTTCACATGAAATTGGTGATACTAATCACTGAGATGAGTAGGGAAAAGCTGTTCCTGGTTGTCAAACCACCAGAACCTGCCGAGTAAGATAAAAGTATATGTCGTCCGACAATGAAATGATATTGATGAGTAACTCTTCAATTATCCTCAGATATTCGAACACTTGGGCAGCAACAGATTCTAGATCCAGTTAATGCGCTGTCGAGAATAGGGCTGCTCAGGTGTTGATGGACCAGGCTTGAATATACTTGTCCTTCTCTCACGCCGCCACGCAATATTATCTATGAACCAAATGTTTCACTGTTAGGTTGTGTACTTCACGGTTTCCCTCATTATCAACTCCTCGTGAAACGGAAAAGGCTCCGTCGATCCCACAAATCCTACGGCGATTAAGTAAGCGGAGCACCCGACGGGATGTGGCATGCTATCCTCTGGGAAGTTTTTGCGAGCTATCTCTATTCTACGAAGTAAGCTATTCTTTCCTTCAACCTCTATCGAGGTGACACAGTCAGTCCACTTGGGAATCCCAATTGACAACCCCTGCCGTACGACTGTTATTTCCAAGTCTTTCTAGACGAAATGCAAGTATCTATCCGTTCTCCAGGTTTCATGAAGCTAGACTCATCCTTTGCCCATCTTCATAAACGTCTAATCCAGGCTTCTGGAGTCTGGTTGGTACATCAGGGCGGTGAAGTGAGAAGCGGTGGACTCACCGTTGAAGAAGCCGCAGGGCTGAGTGCTTGATTCAATGTACGGATGTACTTATCCGTTGCTATCACTGGGGTGTATACTTTTACCCCAACCTACCCTGAAGATCATTGATCAATATGTATAAATATGTATGTAAGCACCCGTTCCTGCAGACACCTCGATCTCATCTCTCCGGAAATCTACAGTAGTGGGAAAGAGAAGGAAATTGAAGATTGAAATCTGGAATACCATTACATCTTTTTCAACGCTCCGAATTGACCAATCATATTGTACGACTTCCGGCTTATATATGGCCTTTTCTATTATGGCATATCTATACTTGCAAAGATTATAGATGCTGGGATAGCAAGTCCCAGCAAGTCCCAGGTCCTACAAACTTATCGTTTTTCCTTTCTTGGGAAAAAGTAAAACGAATCTGGCGAGAGTCATCAAGTCTCAGTACTTGATCAATTGGCCTGGAATCAGCCAAGAACAGAGGTAGTGGTACTTTCTACAACTCGGGTGCGTCTTCCTGCAGCTCTTTTTTTTATGGCAAGGTTCCGCATTTTGCATTCTTATTGGGCTTCTTTTATGGAGAGCTTTTTTTTTTCTATCGTCACCTTCTTGCATATGATCCGCCCCTCTATATGCACCTTTTGCCTTCCACCCCACATACTTCCATACACACTACACACACATACATACACACATATATGCCAGCTTTCATTTCAGTCTCTCAATGCCCCATGACGATCCGAGACTGCAAATTACTGCAGGTGTCTCCAGCGTTGGCTGGAGCATCTCCACTCACTGCTACTGTCTCAAGCCTCAAATTACTTTTTCTACACTTTACCGAAGGTGTCAGTAGGAGGTCACACATGAGCTGTCCTAACCACCGATGGAGACAACACACACGGTTCTAAGCTACGGGGGATCGACGTTACTTCTTTGAAATATATTTCATCACGCCGAGACAAATTCCAGAGTCAAGCTGCCGTGTTGCACATGGGTATGCAGATGCAGAGCAATCCAACTTTATTTGACTGCCACCTCACAGTTTCATATCATTTCCAACACTCCTCCTCCTTCGTGAAGACTCTGAAGAGTACACGCGGATCATCTATAAGACCAGCTTCAATTCCTGCGGAGTATAACGCCATTCCCGAACCCGCTCCCCACTGTTTCTCCTCCACATCACTAGCACTCAATCTTAGATCTAGCTTGAAGGCTTGAACGCTTTTAGACCTTCTAGTACGAAATCACCACTTAAGATGTCTTATTCATCATACAGCTCTGGCTCAGCTACATGGCAAGAGAAGCTCGAAGGTAATGAAGCAATTCGTGCTTTGAATACTGAACATCAAATTGACTAATTCCCTCAAGAGAGATGTCGCGAG